ATATATATATATTAAATAAATACTATGCATAAACTTTATAAAGTAATAAATTATATAGTTTATAAAACCCTAAACCCTAAACCCTAAAACATAAACCCTAAATCCTAAACTTTATAAACTATATATGTATAGACACATTTGATAATTCATATATAGATTATATAAACAATAGTTTATATAAATTATATATGTAACATTAACCTATAGTCTATAAACAATAGTTAATATATGTAACTTATAGACTTATAATATATGTATACATGTAAACTATATATGTAACTTATAGTACATGTATGTATAAACTATGTATAGTATGTATATATATATAACCTATATATATAAACCATATAAAGTAAATTACTTATATAGTTCATAGAAGTACTATGCATAAACTATATAAAGTAATAAAATATATAATTTATATAAACCCTAAACACTATGCATAAACAATAGTTAATATATGTAACCTATAGTATATGTATACATGTAAACTATATATGTAACTTATAGTATGTGTATGTATAAACTATGTATAGTATATATAAACTATTTATATATAACCTATAGTATATGTATATATACAATCTATTTATATGTTATATAAACTATATATGTAACTTATAGTTTATAAATAGTAGTTTATATTAGTGTACTATATAGTTTATACTTTATAACCTATAGTATATAATTTATAAACTATAGTTTATATTAATGTACTATATAGTTTATATTAATGTTAATTATATTAACTATGATTTATATTAATATAGTATATAGTTTATAAACTATACTATATTAATATTAATTATATTAACTATAGTTTATAAACTATATTATATAATTTATAACATATAGTTTATATTAATATTAATTTTATAGATTATATTTTATATTAATATTAATTACAAATTATAAACTATGTATAGGGCTTTTTCTCAGCTGGCTTTTCTCAGCTTTTGGTGCCATTGTTCTTCAGTTGTTGGGAATTGTTTGGTCTCTAGGAAAGAGAAGAATAAGAGTTTTTAATTCGCAGGAATAAAAGATTAGATGTTTGCGAGGGAAGTTAGGCGGTATCGGTAGGAGCTGAAGCGGGAATTGGATTTTTAAGATTGACAAGGATCGATGACGTGAATGATTTGAACCGTTGAATGGAATTGAATTATGCAGTGAGTTTACTGTAGAGATGGTTTAGAATTTTGGGATCCATTTTTTGGGCGCGGAGTAGGCGTTGTCTTCGCGCCTTGGATTACAGTTGACGAGAAGGGGAGATCGACGGATGAGATTTATCTTTTATTTATAAAATTGACGGAGATGGTTGACGTGGTAGGATAGCGAAAGTGGATGACATCAGATGGACGTTTCTGTTGCTATTTTTTATTGCATCTTTGTACCTAAAGGGATTGAAATCTTTTTTTTTTTAATACCTATAGCTTCTAGAACAATTGACATGGAAAATATACAGGCTCTGGTGAAAGATCTCGACACACTTTTGCTTGGGAACTTGGAAAATGCAGAGAAAAACCAGATTTAAGGGAATTTAATTGGCTATGGTGATGGATATATCACACCAATTCTCATACATTTAAGGGAATTTAATTGGATACGGTGATGGATATATCACACCAATTCTCATACATTTTATCAAAAACTACGATGTTGAATTGTTTCTTAATTATTTTAATTTTAATTTTTTAAGGAATTTAACATTAAGAGAAATCATTGGAATTTGAGATTCAGTCTTGTTTCTTCCGTTTACATCTAACTTCTACTTATTAATTACTTATTATATTTATTATGTTTAACAGTAACTGAAACAAATTTTTATTGATGTTTTTGTTTTTTGTAGGATGTTTTAGTCCAAAGTAACACATCCTCATTTTGCTTGATATTATTTCTGTTATTATAAACAATGTTAAATGCTTAATTATGTAAGGGTTTGGTAAAATTGAAAATATTTGGCACTGTTGCCCATCGTATTCCCTTTGGTTTTACTGCTGACTGCATGTTTGTTTAATGCAGAAATATTGTGTTTATTATGTTTATCTGAAACAAATTTTAATTGATGTTTTTTTTTTGTAGGATGCTTCTGTCTAAAGTATCACGTTCTGATTTTCCCTGATATTAATTTTATTTTCATAAACAATGTTGAATGTTTTATTATGTAAGGGTTTGATAAAGTCGAAAATGTTTGGCACTGTTAGCCATCGTATTCCCTTTGGCTTTACCACTGATTAAATGTTTGTTTAATGCAGAAAATCTACCTTCTGTTGCTGCCTGTTGTTGCTTGCTTCTTGTTGTTGCCTTGTATTTTATTTTGTTGGTCTGACTTAAATAAATTGTTCAAACTGTTATTTTTTTTTGAAATAGTTACTCATGTTAAATTATGTTGGTAGCTTTAAAAGTTGACCGTAATTTAACAACGTTGCATCTATTCCGATATAAAAGCTCGATGAAGAAATTTATGATAGCAAAGTTAGGCTTTTAGACTTATAACATTTTTGTTATAATATCTGAGAACTTAATTTTTTTTTTCATTTTATTGTATTGAACTTGAATTGACTCAAATGTAATTCAAATTTTTTATTAAATGTTATTTAAATTATTATTATCAATTAAATTTATATTTTATATTATTTTTCATTTATGTTATAATTGTTAGATACTTTTTTGTATAAAAATTAAACGGTATAATTTATATTTAGATTTTAGAGAATTAATCATGTTTAATATTAACATTCAGTTATTATCAATTTAATTATTATTTTATTGCCAAAATTATTCATATTATTAATGTAAACCATTAATATATATTACATAATAAATACTTTTATTATTAATATTATTTTTTCTTTATATAAATTAAACTATATAATTTATATAAATTAAATTATATTAATTTTCCTTTTGCATTATTAATAATGTTTTATCTAATTTACATTTAAATAATTTTATTATTTTTATTAAATAATTTTATATAATAGGTCTATTTATCAATATAAGTATCATAATAAATATTTTATTATAACATTTAAAAAGTAATCATATTAATATTTTAATTACATCATAAGTTAAAAAACTAATAATTTATAAGATTTCTATGGTAATATATAAGTCAGGTAAATATCATATCAGGTCATTAACAAGTCGGATCATTTACAGTTCAGGCTAAAAATAAGTCAGGTTAAAAACAGGTCAGGTTGAAAACAGGTCGGGTAATACCAGTTATTTACCAGGTCAATCTCGGGTTCGAGTTCATATCACTTAGATGCAGTTCGAGTTCAGGTATCATATTTTCGGTTCAATTCGGGTTCAGGTCGGATGCAGGTCGGGTTCGGATCCACAATTTTCATGTCTAAATCGGGTTCAGGTCAACACCAGTTCTAACTCGAGTCGATTTCGGATCACCACAGTGTAGGTTAAAAACAGTTTGACTCGAGTCAGGTTTAATCAGTTTTGCAGGTTGAGTCAACATTTTACAGCCCTAACTGTGGGGTTGTGTCCAAGCAAATAGGAAGTGAAACCGCATGGCTTTCTTTCTTACAATGGGTACGTAATTGTCCTAAACCATCATCTCGTCCTGATAAGATCAGTTTAGAAGGTTATAATTGAATTATAATGCTCCGGGCTTATGTTTGTCGGTTTTTTTCTTTTTAATTTCGCAATATGTTGTGTATTTATTGGTCCAAATTTGCACAAGTGACAGACTCTAGAGCATGCCGCGTCAGATCAAGTATATATATCTTTGTCTGAAATCTGAATCATTTAACCTACTTAAAGCCGAATCTTCCATTGTCTTCGATTGTATTTTTTTAATATATAATTTTTTATAGTGTAATTATATACTTAAAGTTTCTAAGGATGTAATTAGATATTATTTTTCTTGGAAAAATAAATATATATATGTATATATAATTTTAATATTTTAAGTATGTAATTAGAAAAATTATGTAAAATTTAATGCCACTGTTTTAATCATTGTCCTCAAATTGCTGAATTATAGTATGAAGGATTTTCGGTCGATGTTTTGTTGTTCTGTTGTTTATAAAGTTATCACTAGAATCATAGTTGGGTAGGCTTACGACGGTTTTTCTGTGCATGATAGCTTTGAATCAATTGACTTTTGTACAGAATCAGCACACCAAGGTACTTGCCAAGGTCTATAACCTCTATATAACCAAGCTCACTCGTAATATCATCACGTATTTCTCTTGAGACGTAGTTTGAGAAGAAAATTTGTGTTTTAAAGGTAATTACCCGATGACCCGAGCTGATACACAAATCTTCTAAGGTCGCTTTCATAACATTCATTTGATCAACAGAGGTTTCACCGAATAAGATTAAGTCATCAATATTCCTCACAATCGTTTAAGATAGTCTTTCCATACACGACACAAAAAGATAAGGCGAAAGTGGACCGTGTTGCCTAGTTTCTCTTATTGGCTTGAATTCTTCAGTCTTCACCCCATTCTAAAGGACTTGTACAGTTAGTGAACGAACACGCAACATAATCAAAACAATGAGATTAGATGGAAGCCTCACGCCTTAAAGTGTGTCTTCAATAAAGTTTCACTCTAAGCGAACATAGATGTTTTCGAGATCTACCTTAACAACCATCGTTCCTTTACCTCCCTTTTTATGTTGCATAGTATGGATAATCTCATGCGCCAAAATATTTGATAAAAATAATTTTTATTTTTAATATAATGTTTAACTCTTTTAAATAAAAATAATAATGCACTCAATTATAGTTAAATTTACTTCGTTTTCAAAATATTACAACAATAATTGTATCAATCGAAATAAGATTCAATTATAAAAAAACATTTTCATTAAATAAAAAGGATAAATAGAAAATAAACAATCGGGACATGGGCCTAAAGCTTTTAACATGAAGCATTATTTTCAGAATAAATTGTCCATAGGGGCTATGGGCTTTATGATCAAATAAAATGACATTTATTGAGCCAGCCCAAATATATTTGTTCTGATTTTTCTTTTGGGGTAAATTCTCGTTTCACCACGAAAAATAGGATTTGCCCTAATCTTCGCTGACAGCCGCCACTCATCTTAGCTCCGTCGCCGTCTTTCTGGTTCTCAGGCGCTGCCACTGTATACTTTAACTTACTCGCAGCTGATTCCACCGCCAGGTTCGGTTCTTTCTCTCTCTTTTTATAATAAATTTGTTTCTTTTACTTCTGTTTTTCTTGAAAATTGTTTAAAATGCCTATATTTTCCTTGTATTTTTATGAACCCAGATTCCCGAATCTGGGTAAAAAAAAAAGGGTGAGTGCTGGGTTTTAGTTTAAACTATTTTTTTTCAAGAAAAAATATTTTTAAACCTTAGAACTGAACAATTATATCGTAATCAAAGTAAACACGATTTCTACACTTTCAATCATAATTGAGTGTTCTTAACCTTTGATTTTGTGTTTGAGTCTAACTGTTATTGAATTGGACATTATTGATATCTCTCTGTTTCTGTGTATATTACTTTGTTGGTTTTCATGGTTATTATGTAATAAGCTTGTTTCTGGATTGTAGTTTTATTAAAGATGAGGAAAGGATTGCACCCTCAGATGCAATGGATATCATATGTGACCCCGAGTGGTCGTTTGATTAATTTCATGATGACAAAAATACATAGTGTTGGTAAAGTTTATCACTTAAGGGCTAAACGTCAATTAGCTGCAACCGAAGGACAGATTGCTAAGTTCAACCGTCGCTATGGGCTGGAGAAGCCGGATGATACTGAGAACTCAGAAAAAAATGAAAAATGAGTCATGGTTGTTGGCAATGCAATGTTGGGTATTTTTAGTTCGATTTAAGCATCTATGTTGTCGAGTAACATTAGTGTCGATAGTTAATTGAAGGTCATTTGATCTTTTGGATAAGATAGTGTTTCAATTGTGGTTTGACAATCTTTCATTCAGTGTGTTGCTGCTTTAATATATAGCTTATAAGAGTTCTTCGTTTTTCGGAGTTTTTCGGAGTTTCATTCCTTCTTTCCTATGGATTTTTCAATGATCATGTCTTATTGAGGCTTGATGTTCGTTTGGGATAACTATTGTTGCAAGCAAGACCAGAGATGTATTAACTTTCTTCATCTTATTTTATGCTTTTGATGAGACAATACATAGATTTGAACGTCAAGTTGGATCTTTTTATTGTGCAGTTTACTTTGGAGCTTTGATTGATTGGAAGTTGATAGTTGTTCCTTTAATCTGCATTTTTTAGTCATCTGTTAGATGTATGCGTTCTTCTATGTACCAATATATCTTTTCGGATGGCTTATAAGTTGATGTCTCGTGTTGAACTATCTTGAAGCTTGTGATCCGGTTTCTGTTGAAAGTTGAAACTAGCCAGCTTGTTGAATTCGAGTTTTTATATCTTGTAGACATTTTGGGCTTCATCGAAGCAGTGGTGCTATCATGTCCCTTCTGTTTCGGAAAAACCATTATCTAAAACCAAAGAGAGGTAAAGCCTTCCTTTCGATGAGTGCTATATGGTTACTGTAAGACCCTCAAGTTTGGGGAAAGATAATTGCCTTTTAACTCATACATGTCTATGTTCTTATTGATTTTGTGCTTGAAATGAGCCGTTTATCCAATGGATTGCTAATATATATGTTGATGCTGGTTCATGCGTGTAATATCGATGACAAAAGCTGATTCAAATGGAAGCTAAGTCAACCACCGACTCATCGTTATTATCTTCCTCACTGTGGCTGATGAAAGTAGTGAACCCTCGATGAGCTAGATATAGTGTTAAGGACATAGATATGCAGACTGGAACATCCGCCATAAGCTTGAATGCAATGTTGTAGGATCAAGACTAATGTTGTCTCGGCGTTAACCATCGTCAACACAAACAAGCCTACCTTTTGATGTTGTCTCTGCATTAACCGTCGTTGGCACAAACAAGCCTACCTTTTGATGTTGTCTCTGATTTAACAGTCATCGGCACAAACAAGCCTACCTTTTGATGTTGTCTCTAATTTAACAGTCATCGGCACAAACAAGCCTACCTTTTGATGTTGTCTCCACCGTAACCGTTGTATGGCCTTGCCGACTGTTCCCTTGCCGTTTCTGCCACCATCTTGTCCCCTTTAAATATACTAGACTTCCTCCTCAGCCACTTCTTTAAATGTGATAATCTAAAATGTGTAAGATCATGTCACCAACTTTAGATAATATGATTAATTAAATTCTTTGTAAAAATTCACTGTCGAAATAAAATACCCTGTCAAAGATTTTGATATTTTTGGATTTTAAATTTTTAAAATTCATAATATGATTTTCTTAAATTTCCTTAAAAAATAATGAAAATTTATAAAGATTTTTTGTATCAGAAAAGAAGACGAAGATGAGTTTAGCCCAACCGTCGGATCGTATGACCTTATATTTTGCAAACCGTTTTATCTACAACCGAATACAGATGACAAAATCCAAAAAGAACTCTGGAAAATGAAGTTAATAGTGATATATATTTTCCGCCAAAAATTTCATGAATTTTCATTCTTTCCAAAGAATCCCTACTTTCTTTCTTTTACTTTCTCCATTTCCTATTTATAATATCTTGAAAACACAGAAAAAAAAGTGAAAAACCCTATCTTTATCTCCCTTCAATATATTTACCTTTTTTCCCCAGCATCTAAACACAGCTTTCTTCTCCTTCCTGTAATATTTTTCCAGGTCTCTTTTCTTAGTCTTAGTTCCTCTATTTCTTTATTAGTTTTATACTTGTTTCATGTTATTGGCTGCTTTCTGTTTGTTAAGGTATAAAAATGATGGAAATATTGAACTGAACATTATACTGAGAGTCAGTAGTATAGTAATTTAATTCTCTTTTTTTTATATTTGGTTTACATGTTATGTTTTGTTGGGTTGTTTGTTGAATTTGAAAGACTGGGATATTTCTTTTGATGCGGTGATAGATGATTGCTTGAGAAAATTTGTGATTCTAATAAGCTTACAATTCCTAAGTTATGGCTTATATTACTAAGCTTATAAAATAGTGGATTTTAACATTATATATATATATATATATATTGCAACGGTGTTTGGCTTGATTCAGCTTAATGGAAATTGTGGGTACTTTTAGTGCATAATCAGGGAACCTTCATTGGCACCATTCATTCATTTTGAATCATTAATTCATAAAGTTCTTTCTTTTCATAGAAATTCATGTGGAGGTTATATGATCAATAGTAAGTTAACCATCGGTTTAGATTTTTTGTTTCAGAGACTTTGAAGCTGTGTTTATTCAATTACAATGGCTTCTTCAACATTATTTTCCAATTTCTCCTTGAAAGGGGAGTCCTTTGATATAAAGGCGCTCAATCCTAATAAAGAGTTCAAGTTTAATGCTTTGAATCTCATGAATAGATTACCTGTTAAAGCCATGCTATCATCCGAGTTTATGTATTCAAGATTGCTAACTGATGAGAACTCGCTGAAATGGGGACAAAGTGAAAGGCTTTTGAGGAACCGGATGCAATGTCATGCTGTGGAAGTCGAGAAGATGCCTGTGAATTCAATGGGAAAGAAGTTTCAACTTGATGATGTGATTGAAGCTCAACAATTTGATAGAGAAACTCTAAATGCTATATTTGAAGTGGCAAAAGAGATGGAGAAAATAGAAAAGAAATCACCTGGGAGCCAAATTCTCAAGGGTTACCTAATGGCCACCCTTTTTTACGAGCCCTCAACCAGAACTAGGCTTTCATTCGAGTCAGCCATGAAACGGCTAGGTGGTGAAGTTCTAACAACTGAAAATGCTAGAGAATTTTCTTCAGCAGCTAAAGGAGAGACTCTTGAAGGCAAATTCTCTTCACCTTTTTGCTTAATGTTCTTCGAAGTTGTTCAATTATGGTGTTTTTCGTAACCAAGTAACTTGTTTTGTAGATACTATAAGAACTGTTGAAGGGTACTCTGATATAATTGTGATGCGGCACTTTGAAAGCGGTGCTGCTAAACAAGCAGCAGCTACAGCAGGCATTCCTATCATCAATGCTGGTGATGGTCCGGGTCAACATCCAACCCAGGTAACTTATAATCGAGTATCTCACTAATTTCCATTGAACCCTGTAGGCAGTCGCAAACTATATTATCGGTATGAAAGAACTGTAAAATGAAAAACATATGTGATGAAGAAAAACCAACAATCCTACGTTTGTAATTTCTGTAATATGGGATATGGCTTGTCTTCACCATGATCTATTTTGTTGCTTCTAAGGTCGTTATCTATTTGGTACATCCAAGTTTGGTTTCTTAGTATAAACAATTGGCATCCTATGTTACATGAACTCAAGGATGAAGGTCAAGTACAAATAAGTATTTATTATGAGTATGTTTAATGTTTTCCAAGTATTTTTTCCATATATTTGAACTGTTTGAGTTCAAAAGATTGTTTCTTTATTTATGTTGTTTAGGCCCTTTTAGATGTCTACACCATAGAAAGAGAGGTAGGAAAATTGGATGGCATCAAAGTCGGTCTTGTCGGAGATCTTGCCAATGGGAGAACTGTTCGTTCTCTTGCATACTTGCTTACAAAGTACCAAGATGTGAAGATCTACTTTGTCTCCCCCGACGTTGTTAAAATGAAGGTTCGTTTTTAGCAAACTTGACTTACAAGAACTACATGACCTGAATTTATGTTCACACACACAGAGACATACTTCCAATAGATTTTCAAACTAACCCGTATTTGTTTCTTTTTCTTCTTTTTCAGGATGACATTAAAGATTATTTGACATCAATGGGCGTCGAGTGGGAAGAAAGCGCTGATTTAATGGAAGTGGCCTCTAAGTGCGATGTGGTTTATCAAACGCGCATCCAGCGAGAGCGGTTTGGAGAAAGAATTGGTCTTTACGAAGAAGCTCGAGGCAAATATATAGTTGACAAGAATGTGTTAAAGGTGATGCAGAAGCATGCTGTAATCATGCACCCTCTCCCGAGGCTTGATGAGATTACGGTCGAGGTTGATGGCGACCCGAGGGCTGCCTATTTTAGACAAGCAAAGAATGGTCTTTATATAAGGATGGCTCTCCTGAAACTGTTGCTTGTTGGATGGTAGGGGTTGGGCGGTTCTCTTTTTCAGGTCATTTATTTGCGTCTAAGAACAACATTTGAACAAAAATCTCAAAACCCATTTTTCATATTTCCTTATATGTTCTTCTGTTGGTTTGGAAGTCAAGTTAATATCATCTTTTTGACGAATAAGCATGGAGTTTGACTTTTTATGTCTACAATATCAACATGTTTATATTATATTTGGTTTTATATTTGTGTCTTCTTTTTTACTATTATCATATAATGAAAGCAAAATATTATATTATCGTATGATGACACAAAAATTTATGAGAAAAATCTTAAGATAAATCACATAAATATGAGGAGAATTTTCATTGATATAAAAAATAGATGAATACAAAGAGATTTGGAAAAAAAAATTCATTTAACTTTAATTTGTAGTATCTGTTTAAAAGTAGAAGTGTTTAAACAGTTAATTTAATTATTGATCAAATCAAATTAATCGATTTTTTCTTGTCATTAATTAAATTGATTTTTTTAAAAATTATTAGTTAAGTCAGATAAAGTTTAGCTAATTCAATTAAGTTTTGAATTAACCAAAATTTATTGTAAAATTTTTAATTAGATTAATTTGAGCTTAATAGAATTATATATTTTTTATTTCGATTAAAATTTGATTATGTCCTAAAAATTTAATAGGATTATAATTAAAGAATAGTTGGATTTTTTTTGGTAAATAAAGGAAAGAGCATGGAAAGCTTAGCAAGGTTCTATTCCATAACCATTACAATCTGCTTGGAAAAAAAAAGGCAAAACCACTAAAGGAGGCTCAAAGAACTCATGTGCAGTAGTATCTTCAAAGGCGATAACTTTGCGAGCTTGTCCGCAACTTTATTAACATCACGATGGACATAATGAATTTGCACACTCCAAGCCCTATTCAGAAGTTTGAACTTTATATATATATATATATATATAAATTTAAATTTTAAATATTTTTTATTAATTCAATTAATTAATCAATTCTGAACTAGATTAATTGATTTCCGAACTTTAACAATTTTCTTAATTATTAATTGATCGAACATCTAATTATCCAACCAATTAACCAAACTAAATTTCAGTTTGGTAGATATTTTCTGTTAAAACCGAACAATGAACATTCATATTTATAAGAATAGTTACTTGATTACGAAAGAAACATACCTAACAAGAAATCTACTCAAATTGTTTTTCCTATTATCAATCAACATAAAACAAAAAAGTACTTATTTTAATTAAATTAAATTTCTTACTTTGTTTGATCAATTTAATCTGATCGAACGTAGATCAAAATCTAGTAAATTATTCGTCGAGACCAAGAGCATTAGACGGAAACATGCTCTTAATTCCCTCCAAAAACATCACATTTCTGCGACGGTTGAGTTAATGCTTGATTTATTTATATCAGCAGTCTTACGAGACCCAATCAAACTCCTCCTGAGCCAACTGATTAGTGTGACGGCCACCCGGATCATCATCGACAATAAATTCAATAAAAAAAATTGTTTTTTAATGGTATAATGACAGAAGTAACTCGCAACATTTATCAAAATAATTATTTTAGTCCTTAACATTTTATTTTAAAGCAAAATAATCTCTATGAATTAAAATCGATAGTTAACAAATAGACGCACTAAAATAGAGATATCTTTATCTTAAAATGAAACGTTTAAGGCCAAAATGTTCTAAAAAAATAGGGCCTAAATGACCATTTGGTCAAATATTAAGGGTTTTTACTCTAAAATAAAACGTTGGGATCAAAATATTCCAAAAAAGAATAGGGACCAAAATGACTATTTAATAGCTGATTTTGGTGGCAACACAATGAGATACAAAGTATTATAATCCTCATGTCGCAACCAATTCACCCGAGATCACTACTTCCATAACAGTTCCTCATCTTCCAGAAGCAGACTAAACTGATCTTCAACCAAAAAAAATCTGCTCCTTCCGGTTGGAAGCAGGAGGCAAAGCATATAAAATATTAAGCTTATCTCGGCATTAACAAATATTCAGTTGTACCCCTATCCTACTTCCAACATTGCAAACGCGGACTACAATCCAACAATATACCTTTAAGACGATCAAAACCACAGACGAAACCACTAAAGATAACCCACTAAAAGGATTGGTTCAAGTGGTAAGGATCTTGATATCGCTTAAGCAGGTTTCGAGTTCGAGGTATTGCGTATGAGAGACTCACTCTTCAAAACCAGGTGTACGACGCGGGTCGGTCTGAATTAATCAAGAAAAAATCCTCAAAACCGGGGAGGACAACAAAAAAGAAAAGACACCCAAGTTTCGAGAACAATAATACGAGCCCTCTTATCTTCAGCTCAAAATATCTCATACCGAAAAGCTTTCTTAAAACGAGGCATACATCATAGAAGCAAATCATAATCGATATAAAATTAAACCTAATATTTATCAGGTCAAATCATTAAAAATAAAATACTAGATTCGTAGAGGCATGCTTGAATTCATTGTTGGAGTATGCCTAGAAGGTAATAGAAATATAAGTTAACTTATTTCTTGGGAGATAGTGCTCTTTACATAAACTGAGTATTAAATCATTTTTAAGTATTTATAATTCTTCCCCTCTTCAAATTATAAATACAACTTATGATACCTACATATTATTTTCCATGATACTTTAATATCTCTGATACGTGTAACATAATTAATCACTTAATTTTATACCATACTTTATAATAGAATTATACATTATACATATATGCTCATAATTACAATTTTATGAACACAAAATCTGCTATCATATAAACCTATGTTAATAATAATATGAACACAGCCGTATATAAAGTTGTGTTTTAAAGCAAAAAAAAAAAAAATTGGTTTTTCTTTGATATTGAATCTTTTTGCTCAATTATTGTGTGGTTTACCACTCATGTTGCATTTCATATTTATGGTAATACGCATGCTAAAATCTCCGTCTCAAACCTATCGAGTATTATTATACTATAAAGGTGATTACATAAACTGAGTTACTCTCACAAACTCTGCTAAATTCTGTTGAGTTAAACTCACAAACTCTGCTAAATTCTGGGTTCATAAGCACCTCATACACCCATAGTTTTAAACTACATAGAAGCAACATTGACAGCAAGTGGTGAGGCAAACAACTAACAGGCCACATAGTGTCAAGGGGTTTATATTCTAACAGAACCTAATCTCACAACTACTGCCATTTAAATCCTACTAAATAACCACATACGTACCCTAAAATCCAGCTATTTCGGCAATAGCACCACCAGTTTGATGCAGCATTGCATCTATCTCATCCCCATCCTCCATTTCCAACTGTAGCAAAAAGAACACATAACCAAAACTAAGAACCAAGATATAAAACAATGGAGAGACGAAGATATATTATAAATATGAATGTTTATAAAACTAAAAACCAAGATATAAAACAATGGTTTCGGGTCAGTCAAGGTCTGGCCAATTGATATTCGAGTCTGTTTCAGGTTTGGGTCATTTTGAATTCAAATTATTTGTATGGGTCATTTCAAGTCATGTTGTATGGAGTTTAGATTCGGATTAATAAGGGTCAAGTTTTCGAATCCAAAACAGAATTGACAACTATACATATAGTTGAGAGAGATAGAGAGAGAAGAACCTCGTCTGGAGTCTGCTCGGCACGTAGACGGCGGCCGTCAAAGAGGAAGGCAATGGAATTGAACTCAACCGATTGTCGATCACAATAGGCATTCATAAGCTTCTTCAATTGAGTGCTTCTTTTAATTCTAAAGAACACTTCATTCCCATCCTACAAAACATATAAATGCATGAATTAGCATTTTGCAACTTCAAATCCTTTCACATAATCCCAATCCATAAATGCTCCATAACATCACTAACAATAATAATTAAGCAGTCATTCGACCAAACCATGCTTTGCTGTTTTCCTTTAAGGCTATTTTATTCTATTAGTTTTTTGTTTTGTTTTTTTCCTTCTAAAATACCTGAATCAGACATTTACATCAAAATATATAGTCTATTATGTGCTTGAAAATATGGTTTTCTATTCTCTCCAGAAGCCTCGAGTTTGAGTAGCTGCATGTTTGTATAGGTTATATTATATGCTAAGAAAAATTCTGACAGTTACTAATACGCGCATCAAATCAAACTATGGTTTTATATGTATATGAAAATAGTGTCAAACGAAACAATCATCTAGGGTGCATACCAATTCAATTAAAATAACATACTGAAAGAATAAAATTTATCAAAAAACTATGCTAGTAAAAGTCAATTGATAGATTAAAAAAAAATTAAATTCATAATTTGTCCAATTTAAGGTAAAATATAACCCAAAAAAGAGGACATTTACTCAACAAAAAAAAAACCCAGAATTTAGATTTCGTTCACTACCAAAAAATCAAATCCTTAAAAGGTAAAACCTACAAAAAATTAATTTCAACCCTTAAAAGGCAAATTTGAAATTTTTTGAACCTGGCCTTTGACTTTGAGATTGATATGAGCCGTTTGATCAGCGGGCTTCTTGTCTTCCTCTTGATTGGTTACTCTCGACATCTTCGTCTTCTACTTCTTTGATATTGGGTGATCCAATTAGGGTTTGGAAATCGGATATTCGAGGGTCCGAATTAGCGATTGATTTTCTTTAATCTTTTTCGGCTTGGCTGGAGAATAACGAGACCGGGGATTTTGTTTCTATTGTGATTTTTGGAGAATGAAATTAACGGTCAGGATTTATTTAGTTGAAGATAGATCGGACTGACTGAAAATTCGGTTTAGTGAGATTAGTTGTTAGATCCTTTAATAAGTCAGTTATTCGAATTATAAATTTATAACGTTTATAAATATAGTAAAGTGGATTGGGAATATTGACTTTGTCTCTATAATATTCAATCTAGATTAATCGATCAAATAGCGATGATTATGTCAAAAAAATTATATAAATAATATATTGATTATAAAATATTTTTCTTTCGATTAAAGAATTATAAAATAATTAATAGATTTAAAAAATAAATTATCTCTTTTCTTTGTTTAAAATTTGATAATGGAAGACATATTAGTTAATAAAATTAGCATAACAAAAATTCAGTCCTTATCATTTATACTATAATAATTTGATCTTAATTCTTTAAAGTTAATCCTTAATTTTTTTCAAAATCCTTAATATTTTAAAATAACACCAGTTTAATCTTTATTTTAATTCACTCCCATCATTATCCACTTCACCATAATTCTTCATTAGTGTGCTTATTATTATTTTTAATCGTCACAGTCAGTTATGGTCGTTCTCTCACTATCTTTCACAAAAATCTTCTAATGATGAGAATGGTTGTAGCAGAGGATTCATACTTCATTTTCACTACTGCAATATGAATGTGGTGGTTCATTTCATCTTGATAACTTTTCTCTAACTCCACCGATCAATGTGCATGCCATCATCGAGTCAAATTAAACATGGGTATGTGATTTTAATTGAAATAAAGATATTAAAATGTTTCAATTTTTCCATTAGTAAATGACCCGTAGAGATTCGAGTATTATTACATTAAACATCATATAACCAGTAGATTAAATGTAACATCCTCTGTCTGAGTATGACTAAAGAAAACATGTCACATTCGATATTAGAATATTGGGTAATTGAAGTCAACCTAAAACAAATAATATGAGGCATACTTGTCTACCTAAAGATCACTTTATAAACAATATAAACTAAATGTGGCATTCATAGACCTGTGTATTACATAAAATGTGACTTGGGCATTAGTCTCAACAGCGGAATTTTCATCATATTAAAATCAAGCCTTTCTTGTAAAACCTGTATCAAAAGTTCATTTGCTTTTAACATCCTTTACTCTTTACATTTCTATGAACATATCTAGAATTATAGTACTTTCAATATCATTTGTACCGTAGTAATAAAATGCAACTTATAATGTTCTTAATCCAAGCTTATGACTTGCATGATATTATCATAAATCAAGAGAGCTAACATAATATTCATAGCTTTCTTATACAAAACAGACATATAATTATAAGTTTTTATCATTGAGATGTATTTTTTTTAATAGTATGGAATGGTTGCAATGTAACATTTGTTGATAATCTTTTTTAACTGTTTACAACGCCTATGCATTATGCAGACACAGCCGCTCAAACTCAGGACCTCAAAAGAGAACAACACTTTCTTTATCCACTAAGGTCACTTTATAAATTCATTAGTCATTAAAGTTGATTTCAACTGTTGATGTTAAAAAAATATTTTGAGACACCCTTTGATTCGACCAAGCTGAGTTAAATTGATATAATATTTAAATTTTTATGATTAAATTTTTAAATTTTTAGGTTCTGAGGAGGAAAGAAAGCTTTGAGGTGGTGAAGAAATAAAAAATGGGTTAGTATGGATTAAATTGGTATAATTTTAAATTTTTATGATTAAATTTTTAAAATTAAGATTAAATTGTAATAATGTGTAAAGGTTACGGATTAAATTTATTGTTAAACTAATATTTTCAACAATCTGAATGATGAGTTGTTATGTATTAAGAAGAAAAATAATACAACAATCAAATACAATTAAAAAAATTAAATGTAGAAAATCCATCAAATAGTCTCGGTAGTAAAAAAACATTATTCTTTTTATAGGTATTGAATTTGAGTATATATATATATATATATATATATATATATATATATATGCAATATGTGTATGTATTATTAATAAGTTAAGAATAATAAATATACTAAACCGGCTAAACTCTCGAGATAATGTTCTCGAATAAATTAATTCACGAGATAATGCACTCATCAGATTAATTGCTCAAATAGGGTGAAATCTACAGTGTTGGTCGTAGGTCGCCATGCCATCCGGGCGACCTACTAGGTCGCCATGTCTTCCCGGCGAGCTATGAGAGAGATTGCATGTGTCATGCACGTTCCAACACGTTGGGCATCCGAAGGCATCCGACCGAGGGCATCCAACCGATGCCATTCGAGCGAGCTATGCGAGGGCATCCGAGGGCAAGAGGAATTACGCGAGGAGCAGGAGGAGTGCATGGCGACCTACAAGGTCCCCAGGAGTGCATGGCGACCTACAAGGTCGCCAGGAGTGCATGGCGACCTACAAGGTCGCCAGGAGTGCATGGCGACCTATGCTGGGAAGCTGCCACGCTGTAGGTCGCCCGGAAGGCATGGCGACCTACGACCAACACTGTGCAATTCACCCTATTTGAGCAATTAATCTTGGGAGTACGTTATATCGTTAAATAAAATTTTCGAGAACATTATCTCGAAAATTTTGCCTACTAAACCTCAATACTTAAACTAATCATTAATCAATATTTATAATATCAATTAAATTCTTAATAATTAAATAATCAATCCCCAACCAAATATTAAATATGAATATTAGAATTTATATGGGGAAAAGTCAACATAGTGAGGCAACCTTTTAAAGATGATGTTGGTAAACAAAAGTCTGCCCACTTGCAATTGGGACATTTGAAGTTATCATCAAACTCATAATTGAAGGGACCCCAGGACTCACCTGTCCTAATTTATTTATTATTAAGACTTCAAACATAAAGGCATGTCTCAGTTCCAAAGTTAAACACAAGTGTGAAACAATAAAAACATGTCAAAGATGGTTTCACTATCTGGAATTTACTGGAATCTATTAAATGATTTTAGTGATTAAAAAAAAATATTATTCTCTTAGAAGTCTCTAGTTTAAGTAGATACGTCTATAGAATGTATATAAATTGTTAATAACTAAAGAAGTTGTGAACAAATATTACCGTCTAATCATCCTAAATTATTACCAACGAGATCAACTGACATTCACCAAATTCTAACGCTTGCAATGAGAAAACATGTTATGGGGTTTTTTTCCTTTGTTTTCACTTGTCTGTCTTTCTCGTACGTACCAAACATTTCATTTATAAACTTGGTGAACAAAAACCTGCCGACTCGTATTTGGACACTGGAAGTTATCATCAAAGTCATAAATGAAGGTATCTTCCCATTGACGATAACACCAAATTACTTTATTATTAAGATATGATTATATTCATATATCAATTTCAAAGGTTAACGTGACCAAAGCAAACGACAAGTATGAAACACTAGAAAAAGTCAAACATGGAGTTTAGATAGAGTTTTCTTCAAAACTCATCCATGGTTTCAATGTTCTCTCTTAAATTTTCTTAACTGAAAATCACCAAATTCAACGTTTCTATGAAGTAACATATAACTATTGGATTATATGCATATGATACGTATATAATCAAATAGAATTGCATGTTATTTATTATTATAAGATAATTAGTGATCTGTATTAAACATGACTTAATACAATTAAAATTAGTTGAAATTTAATTTTAAAATAAGATATGAGTTAATTTGTAAAGATACCTAAGTATAGTTTAAATATTGACGAAATGATTAGAAAATTAGGTTAATATGTAAGTTATATATTAGGATTATATATTGTCTCCAAATTGCACATGAGAACTTCTACAATTATCATTTGAGTTATATATATATATATATTTATTTAATTAGCCTTTTTATTTTTTGATAAAAATTATGGATGGTTTTATCTGTTCTTGTACCATGTACTTTGTTTACTTTTATAATACTTTTTAGGGTTAAATTTAAGTCGTTTTTTTTAAAATTTAGATTGTTTATCTGGTTATCATGTTTATCTATCCTAACGTTAGACTCTCAGGCTTGCAAATTGATTTCCAACGTAAGATTTGCTTGCAAATTGCAAAAGAAAACGTTATCCTGTTTTGAAAATTATTAATGAGCTTTATTCGGCTTAATTCGCACGATCGATGGTTGGTTTCAACATGAAGAATGAAAATATGTATTGATTATAATTTAATTGTTTGATTATTGATTGATTTGATTGATTGATTAATTAATTGTCAATTGTTGGTATTTATACATATGATTAATATGATAAAATAAAGAGAATATTATTCTTAGGTAACCATCTGATATATTAATAGTAGAATCATTTCTCTCACACACTATTATAATACATTATGTTCTTTAATTATTTATTTAAATTATATATGACAATAATAATAATTTTATAAGTAAATTTATGATCGTAATAAATATTTTTAATTTATTTATGAAGTTATTTTTTATTAAATAATAATAATTTTTTAATTAAGAAAATGACTGTATATTAAAGCCAACAACCTCACCACATATTATTATAACGTCCACTTTTGTCTGATCTGTTTTTTTTCCTTACGTTTCTTATCCAACTTAAGCCTTTCAACAAATTCACATTTGAAGTTTTTAATTGGTATCGGATTGATGCTCAATGAAGTACAAGATATCATTCACGTTAACCGAGGATTTAAAGTCCACTACACCTACCGTGAGGTAAATATTGCAGCTCATATGTTGGCACAAGATGCCATTGAAATTTAACGAATGCTTTTTTTTGGGGGAAAAAGAAATCTCTCCAAATGTGCAGGTGAGACTTTGAAAGATAAATTGCCGATGAAGAATTCCCATTAGGAGAAAAAAACGAACAGAAATAAATTAAATATTTAGAATTTGTATATTAAAGATTTGAGGTTTTAGAGCACATATTTATATTTCAATGATCTATTGCTCCCATTCATTGCATTTTTAAAGATAGATTTAGGTTTTAAAG